AGTTGTCAATTTCAAGCAGTGTAACATTTATGCCCAATTTGTCAACTTCAAGCAATGATCAACTTCAAGCACGACAGTGTCACATCTTTTTGCAAAGCGCAATAATTCATATTTTCGATCAGTTATATTATTTATATTTATTTGAAATCGATAAAATTCTTAAAATCTACAGAATCTCCGATTTTCACATGACATTGTGATCTGCAGAGGTCACATCTTTTTGCAATGCGCAAAATAAGTTTATATTGCCCATTTAAAAGCTTTATTTTGAAAAGTTATCATCAGTAAATTTTGAAACCTAATTATAATCGATTAAAATCATCACTCATATCGAATAAATGCGATATAGATTTTAATTGATTAATTCAAATCATCTGTAATCGATTATTACATACAGTATGATCGATTATAATCTATTTAGATATGACCTCTGTGCAGATCATGTCATGTAAAATCACGAGGAATCGGCCGATTCTAGTATATTTTTCAGCATTTTAAAGATGCCGAGTAAAATATAGATGTTATTGATCGAAAATTATGATCAATAGGGAATTGAAATCTCGGAAATTTTCCGCTATCATCATGAATCACAGGGTCACACCTTTTTACAAACTGCCATAAAAACTTCCTTAGTTATAGAAATTCATAGGAGAAATTCGCCAGATTGGCTAATTTTTATGGATCTACCCGTGATCACCCGTGATAATTAGCCAATCAAATTACATAATTTAAAAATTCATCACTTTAACATCAAAAGGAACTTCATACGAAGAAGTTTATAAAATTAAATAATGGGATGCCGTGAACGGAGTCACGAGGCATCCATTTGTCACGAGACCATGATCCGATCCCACACCCATGATGTCAGGTGAGCGAGGGTAAGTAGTGATGAATGAGTGGTGATGAAATGGGCGATTAGTAAGTAATGATGCATTTGGTAATGAATGCAGAGTTTGATAGAATAAGTGATAGTAAGTATGAGGTCATAGTAAATGACTATTTAAGAGTATTAGATCGGAAAGTGGTTCTACCTCTTTTGTCTTTGCTGCTAGCTCGACGAAAGTCTAGCTTTGTCGTTAGTGCCCACCCACCCGCCACTAGGCAAAGGAGTTGTGTGTGGGGTATTTGGTGGTTATGGGTATTTTGATAGCCCGGGTGGACAACTCGGATATCGAAGATAAGTGCTTTGATAGCCCGACTGATCAGCTCGGATACGTTATTTCACCTTTAGGTACTACTGTTAAATCAATGTCAGAAACTTGTGAAATTACCTCGTTACCCATTGCAGCACAAATTTTTGGTAATGCTGGATTAGAATTGTCTAAATAGCCCTCTACTACTTGAACTATATAAGTATTCTCTTGGAGCTATGTTTACAGGGCTTTTAACTCTTGTTTTCTTATTCTCTGTCTTAAAGGTCAGTTGCCCATTCTAGCCTGGTATTATAGTAGTATGCTATAGATGTTAGAGCGTTCTCTCGGTCTGTCTTAGATTCAAAGTATACCAATGCTTTACCTCTTATATTGCCATTACTATTTTTAGTAATATGAACAGCCTTGGCTTTAAGCCCTCTAAGTTGTCTTAGCAAAGCTGTTTCAGTTGCCATCTTGGGTACATTTTTTATTATTGTTTTAAATTTATTTCTACTTTCTAGCATGCTTATATCAAAGGCTCCAGGGGTTGTTCTTAGAAGTTTTTCTTCTTCAAAATGCACTGCCCAACTTTCTTTTTTAATGCATTGAATCTTGTATTGTTTACTACTTTTATCTCTATATATGCTGCTTTGGCCTTGTCTACTGATTATAATTTTAAAATATTGGCTTTACTAAAAAAAACATTTTTTAATTCTTTTTAGTTGTGTATTTACTGGGATATTCTATATAGTAAAGTTATATGTTATTTTGCTTTGTTCTTTTTTTTGAAAGTATGCTGTTGGATTATGTAGAGCCCAGTCTAAGCTTTAGATATCACCTTTTTTAGTTTTGTTTTTTTTTGTTATTGTTGACTGCTTGTTATCTGGTATATCTATTTTCTGCTTTACTGTTTTAGTTGGGTTTCTATTTTGGTTTGTATTCTTACTTTTGGTGCCTTCTGCTGCTATTTGCATCATTTAAATTGCTTTATCTCATTGTTTTGAGTTGAGCTCTCTTCTATCGTGCTGATTATTGGTTCTTCTATTATATCATGCTTTTCTATTGCTAGCTATATTAAGTTTTGAATTTTATTTAGCCTATAGTTTATTGTGCCACATTCATACTGAATGAGTAGATTTTTGTTTATCTGTTACTTATATAACAGGTTTATTGTAGCTGTTTCTTTAATACTTTTTTCTCTACTGTGATTGGTGTTAGAAGCTTCGATATGGTTTGAGAACTCAGTTTCTTTATGGCTTAGAGGCTTGTTTGTTGCTTGTTTATATGTAATATCATCATATCTCTTTATTGCTCTTCTAATAACAGATACCAGTTCTGGGTTGCTCAGTCAAAGCCAGTTTGTAATATGTTTATCCTTTATAAGCATGTTTTCTTGTTGCTTGGCTAAGTTATTTATGATTTCTAAGAAGCTCTTTTTGAATATATCTTTAACTTCTATAATGCTTTCTATTATTTTACTATACTTTTGAATATTTTTAGAAGAATTTTCAATTGTTTGGTTTAATCATGTGTTTAGTATTGTAATCTTCTTCTACAAAGATATTTATATATTTATTTATTGTTTATTGTTTATTGTTTATTTACGTGTTGTCTGTATTTATTACCAGATCTGTGTTTGTTTGTTTACTTGTTTCTTGCTATGTAAACAGATCTACAGTACAGTGTCAGGTGTATTTCCTAGTTTTTCAAGAAAATTTGTTAAAAAAATCTTTTCTTTCACTATGGCTTTTTGTGTGTTAGTTTGTTTCTTTATTGCTCTAAGAGACTGCTACTTGTTTTTATAGTCTTTCTTTTTTCTTAGAACTACTCACAGTGGTTCTTATACTAGATTTTGCTCTATCTGTAAAATTTCTTTTCTGTCGTTTTGGTACAGAGAATCCGCGGGAAGAGTTGAAAGAACTAAAGTTAAATTAATATTGAAATCGACATAAAACAATTATTAATAATCAACACTGATTGGTTATAGTATGTAGATAATCATGTGATTCAAGTAAAATCTCATAATGACCTTGTCTTTTTTTTGCCATGGAAGGATACTAATATGATATCTATGTGACTAGTGATCAGGTGCATGTTGATTAAATATCAGTAATTGGATAACAATTCAATCAAAGGTCTAAATATTAGATGCATGAGCAATGAGATAGTATGTAATAATCAGTAATGCAAATATGTATTAGTAATTAAATATTTAAGATATCGGTTCTAAAGAGGGAGATACTTTGATCTGCAATTATTTTGAGATACTTAGTAAATAAACTGTAATTTGAGCGAATACTGTGAGACCCAATTGATCACATGAAAAATGCATAAAGTGCAAATACTTATATTTATAATCAAAAAGGATATTTTGGATATATAGAGGTAGAAAGAAAATAATGAAGAGATATATGTACAAACTAAATATCCTTAAAAATATTAAGAAAATAAAACATAAACAATTTTATATAGCTTATTCAATATTAAGTATGAAATTGCATTTGTTAGTGGCAAAATTGAGTAATATAAATAAAGGCCAAAATGGCCCACGAAGAGATTATGCTTCGTTTTGTTTATTAAAAAAAAAAAGTCCACACCTTATACACTGTCTATAATATTACATTAGCACTATACCCAGTATAAACCGTATAAACTCCATAAAAATCGTTGTTCATTTAAGTGCCTAATCACGTGACTTGGCGTACCTTACTTTGCCGACCCAACATAGCGGGCATTGCTTGATTGGGTGATCGACACACTATGTTACACAATATGTTTCACATAGTGGCGTAACGTTT